CCGCCGTGTCCTACTAGAAGGACGGGAGGTAAGGTACCGTTTGGTCCTACATAATTGTGGTTCTGCAATAAATATATGTAATGATGATTTCAGCAGCGAAAACATAATCAGGTGATAAGTAGAAGATAAAAGGTCAGATAGATAGCCTCTGTCTATTACGTTTAAGGACGCAGAGAAGCTTACCTTGGGCATGTAGAGCCAAGCTGAAACAGGAATCTCATCTGATTGGAACTCGATATGTTCTGGCTCACTAATATCCAAAGATTCCAGATCTTTATCATCACGTGCAGTGCGAATTACAGTGATAGCGGGGTCTTCATCCTGAAAATCCGGGAAAAAATGATTAGGAGCATGATCCAAGCAGAGCAGAATATTATGAATATGAATAGGGTGATTAGAGCAACCATGCCCAGCTTATGCACCACCGCTAGCTTACGGGCCTGGCCAAACCACGCCGTTAGTCGTCTACCCATTCTCCTCTTCAACCCCATCAGCTAATAGCTAGGAACTGATATATTTTTAAAGAACAAAAGAAACTAGAGGAGCAGAAAACGCAACTAACGGCATAGTATGGTTAGGCCCCAGAACACTACCCCACCTCTTTCGGCAACCCGATCCTCAGAATGCATGAAGCTTTGCGTGGTCCTGCAGCAATTGCGTATACGATATCACCTTGCGTGATGCTCAGATGTGAAAATACAGTATATCCAGGTGTTGAAACTGTTCTTATAGAGGCATCTCTTCTAAACATCAAGCGTCCGCCTACATTCATCACCTAAATTTGAATTTGTTACTATAGAGAGGATCTGACCGCCAGACATCGAAGTACCATGCAAGATCCATTTGAGGCATAGGGTCGGTCCGCAAATTGCCATAAAGGGTAGCCGATCTCTCGATCAACAGGGAACAAGTTCGTTTCTTTATCTGTAAAACATATAGACTACGTGATTTAGACGACACAGAGCTTTGGGCCATGCATGCAACCTACATTCCGGTCCCATAGTGCTCACTTCGTACACATTCCAAAAGTTGGTTGAATCATTTACCATCAGTAATTTGTCATCTACCCAACTGGGACAGTAATAGTTGATCTTCAAAAATGCTAACAGAACATCCACCAATAAATCAATGTATGAGATACCTTCTTCCCAGTGCCGTCTTTTATAACCACCTCATCACTTGCTGTTCCATCTTCATGTAGTACAGCCATATGAATTGATGTCTCATCCCATGGCTGTACACAAAATACCGATCAATAAGTACAATTTGCATTGGTGCGATTTCAGGCAATTACCATATTCACGTGATTCCACTGCATCCATACTAATCTCTTTCCATCTGGAGATACACGAGGAGATGCGTAGAAATCCGCACCGCTGGCCTCAAAAGGGATTGGACAAGGGAATCAACAGAGCAAAAGTTTCTAAGCTCTGATTTCTGAATCATGAACTAGGAAAAAGTAACTTAAAGCTGTCAAAATCCGTAATTGCAATAAATCTAAAAAAAGCAGAAGGATAAATACTGTACCATAGAAACTATTTGCTACGTAAAAACAGGGAAAAAGTTCAAACAAGGTGATGTCCGAGTGCGTTACAACTGAAGAGTCACCTACCACAACTTTCTGCTCTTTTGTCTCCTTATCGATCGATATCAGTCGATTTTCTGGATCTACTCCAGGCCGAAGATGAGCCTCATTCACACAATAAACATGTTTATCAGCAGCTGTGAAGTCAGCAAACCTAAAACGAGAGTTTCCAAAGCTCCACAAAAACAATTGCCAATTTACCTTACCTGAGCTTCTTCTCATTAGCATCTGCTAATTGTTTAGGAGCAGCATCTGGACGCTTCTGATGAAACACACCTTCTACAGTACTGTAAACGACAGAGCCATCCTTTAAAGGGATGAATGACCCTCCACCATATTCGTGAACTAAGATACAGATTTGTTGATAATTCCATGCAAAGTTCTGATAGGATCTACCTACCGCAATTTTGCACAGACTGTTCTGGCGCCCATCTAACGCGACCTGCGGACGGTGACTTCGCGGAATCATAATACAGCTCACGTTTTCCAGTACTTGCACTTTGTTCAACCCAAAAGATACCATCTAAAACATTCTTTGAATTCCTCTGGAGATGCTCAATGTACGGTAGTCCTACCGTCAGTAGCC